ACGACATGTAGTACTATCTTGAAGAGCATGACCATTTTTAATCTGTGCTGGTCATGTAGGCCTAATTTTTAAAAATTGAGACTTCATCTACTCTGCACAACGGACAAGGTAATCTGCAAACAAGGTGTATTTACCCATACGCACATTTCAAATTGTTTCTTCACTCTTTGGTCATTACAAAAATGAAACACCCCGAGAACTCCTCACTATTTATATTTCAAGCACGACAATTTGCTTTTTTCAGTTTTACCATAAGAATACCCTAAACAAACAAACAAAAATGTTTTTTTTAATGATTTGTACAAGTACAAGTTTACGTACCCTGCAATTTGTAAAGAATAACTGCGACAATTTAGTCCACAGACTAATGACTGAGATGCCTCTACTCCCCTCCTTCCCCAAATCAATGCAATTTTCCTTCTGTTTGTGCAAATTTGCCTTCGTTTCAAAAGTGTCTACAGTTTCAAAATACCGACATTTATACCCATTCAACTTAAATCTGGTGATGACAAAGACAAATCACGAGTATTCTCCATTGTATGTACATATAGGTGGTATTTTCTTTGGTGCACAGTCTCTGCTTTCTGTTCCTCCCTCTTCATTTAGTCTTAATCTGTTACTCTCAGTCTAATGCTGTCTTTGAGACATCCCTTTCAAGTCCAGAGGGACATTAAACTTCATAAATACGTAAAAAATAAGAATCAAAAGCAAAAACTTATGAAATTTAAAAAAAGAGAAAATACTGTATGTGATGTACTTGCCAACTGACCCTCTGTTGGTTGTTACCAAAGTCTATTCCAGATGTGATAGGCCTACAGCTTTCTCAACTTTTTAACAACTTGGAAAACATTAACGGCTGCCAACATTAATAGGCCTGTATTACTTATATCACGATACAGTGGTGTTTGCCAGACAGCAACCCTCTTAGGAAGCAAGCCTAGGTTGCTGATCATACGAGGTTGGGGTTGCTGTTCAGTGGACAGCACTGTATAATACAAACCTCATAATACACTCATCAAGAGAACACAATCAACAAGTAGGCCTAAACTGTCAATCAATGAGACAAACAAAACAAAAGAAAAACAATGTGATCAACATCATCCCAATGAATTTTTGGATTTCTGAGAACTGGTTACCTTTCATATATAGCAAAAACATATCAATGACAAGATAAAAGCTCCTATATATTACATTACGACAAAACGATGAAATTTTGTTATTGTCGAGGGAAAAGACTGAATACAGTCGAACCTTCTCTAATGGCCACAGGTACAAAACAATCACATGTACAGACCCCCACTTCCCAAAGGGCCATACGTTCTCTTCCATAATATATCGTTAATGACCACCATCACCTTGAATGATCTGTAGACAGACAAGAGGCACCAGCTGGCCATGTCTAAGTGCTGCTGTTTTAGCCTGCTTTCACCTCTGTCTGTCAATTTCTCTTTTAGCATCCATTGTCTTCCAACAGTTTGTTTTAACTCCCATGAGAAGAACTTCTGAGCAGTCCATTGATGTGACAAAATGAATCCCTTTTGTTAAATGATATCACTTAAATGAAGACATGTAGATACTGAGTGATAGGCCTAGGTTATTAAATAAGCACTCTCACCTAAATGATAAGTGGTCAAACATGAAACAGAAAAAACACGGGGGAAAAAAAGCATTGAGAAAACAAAAAAATGAAAGAACCAAGTCAGCAACGCAACAACAACTGTTAAACAGTGGTAAAGACGCCACGCGGTGACACACGTAGCTTGAAAGACAATCTGCTCGTCATCATAGACATAATATCTTGGCATGACCAAGGGGACGCCACTCTGTAAACAAAGTAAGCGCCTCGCGTAAAATAAGTCTGTGTCGCAGTTGGTGTAAACACGCTCTGTACAAAAATAATAAGATGGCATGCGTGTAAAGTAGGTCTTCTCTACGAGAACAACAAACTTGAGGTATGAGTCCCTGCCAGACATGAGACATGCACATTAATATATTGTTCCATATGACGGACAGTGAAGAATTAATACAAGTTACCCACTCAATCCCCCCCCATCCCAACTACAGTCAGGCACAGATAACCGAAACGAGCCGCGAGGATTGACAAATGTGTCCGATACATCTATAAATTCGGATAAACCGATATAATGAATATCATGGGAGGTACCATAACTCTTTTCTCTGCTATCGTGAAAAGTACCTAGCACCCATAATAGAATAGGATGAATTTAGTGTGTGCGCCTCGTTCGATGTTGAAGTAGGGGAAAGAAGGAGAGAGTTGCCAATTAGCCAAACATTGCTCCTACGGCAGATCACGATTCTGACCATGTAACCAGAACTGGTTGAAGCACGCCACCCATCCCTCTCGTATAATCACTTCCTGATCCATAAGGCCTATCACCACGTTCAAACAACCACAAACACATACACACACACACAAGCACGCACGCACGCACACACACACACATGCATGCACACACACACACACACACACATACACACAAACATAATTCACAGACTATACCACACCCAATACAGCACTATACTACACTGTTTGTCTAAGAAGAATATCATACCTTACCACCCAACCCCCACCCTCACATGACCAGGATTGAAGGAAGGTCTAGTGCTATAAGCACATTGCAGGTAATATGTGGTGACGCGTCTCAATACCAGCTGTGTAGTGTGTGTGTAGCACTGGAATGGGTTGTGTGTCCCGCTGTGCAGGGGTGAGCCTGGTGGGCTCCTGTACCCTGATCCTCTGAACGATGACGGGTTTGTTGATTTGCTCCATGCCCGCTGGGCGATTCAAATTTGAGACAATTTTGAGGAAAAATTTGATCCTATTTTTCGAGACAAGCTGTTCGACAGATCTGTATGGGAATTTAACTTTTAAGAAAACAACGTTGTTAATACAGAGATAATATAGTGGTTCAGTGAGGATATGGCAAATTGTCCGAGTTCTCCGTGATTTCAAATTTTCCGTGTTCCTGTTTTCTGTGCCCGACTGTAAATGAATAATCTTTTAAAGTGAAAAATGAAAATGAGTTAACGTTTATGGCAGCAAATCAAAAAGATCATAATCTAATTATGCATAACATTTTGGTTTTACTGATGGCAGAAAGGACAAAGAAAGAAAGAAATGAATTAAAAGAGAAAATCATAAAATACATTTACTGTAAACCTTCTCATTCTGCATATTGTTCTTTTTTTTGCTTTCCAACCTCGGCAGCATGCACTTAGAGTCAAGAGGGGGAAAAAACCTCTCTACCTCTAACTCTAATGTAATAGTTTTGCCTTGTGGGCAGCAATGCTCCATTTTCAAACACATATAATCACACAGAACACAAACTTACAAGTACACACACACACACAGATTCACACCCCACACAAAATTCCATAGACTCATTCGAACATGCCTACACAACATATCCTACTCAATCAAATACATTCACATCAATACAGCGAGAAAAAAATCAATTCTAGATGAACGATTTCCGCCTAATACTTAATGCCATGTTCCCACACAGGAGCACACCTTTGAGCAAAAGATCCTACACATTTTACGCTCCTATTGACACAATTTAGATTATTTAGGAGGTGGGCAGCTTAGACCCTGCTGTCAGGGCCAGGATGGGCAGTATGGGACACTGACTGCATTCTTAGAGTAAGACTGTTATACGCAATAAAATATCTCCCCCCACATCCGTCAAATGAAAAGCAGAGACTCTCACTGTAAAAACTATAGCCACAGTTGGAGAAAAACTAGGAGCAAGAGTAGAGAACTCTACATGATTGCTAGTCTTAGTCATGCTTCCAAACACCCGCTCCACAATTCCCCAGCAGTATAATGAAGTAACGAAAAAAAGAAACACAACCGGTAAGATACACAGAGGACCACTGACTTAATTTCTTGTATGATGATTATTCTTTCAACGACAAATGTGATCAGCAGCCACAGTGATTGTCTTTTCATGTACGTGTGCTTTTGTCAGAACGTTGGTGCATATTATGGGTGTGCATTTGAAAGAATTGTTATACAATTTGTCATACAATGATTGGGCTGTGGCATAGAAGAAACTTACCATTGTATAAGCTGTCTAAATGTTACGTTATTGTGAAGCGCATAGAGCCATCAGGGAGTAGGCATTATAGAAAAGTTCTTTGTTATTATTATTATTTTTACTATTATTATTATGAAGAAGTGAATACCTCATACAACTTTCCACCTAGTGTAACCAACGGCCATTCAAGCATTCATCTTTTCTTTGAATCCGCACTCATTACAAATCTCTACAATCCTGTCCTGCCAATCAACAACAGGAACAAAATACAACATTGCCCATTCCATAATTGTTACATTTCACTCTAATGCCACACTGCCGATGACAGAAACAAGAATACATCTTCGCATTAATCTTTCTGCCATCCATCTCATACATCAGATCTACATCATTCACCTCATCCACCATTCTTCTCACACAGATCAAAAGATGTTACAGAAGTAAGACTCCTGCAACCATTTCATTCATCGGCATGAATTTTCAGCTATGTACAGAATACATCTCAGAGACATAGTTGTTTTGATAATGGAATTTCTGGTTTTGTCAGTCCTCTTTCCCCGCACTGGGAGGAAAAAGAACAAAATGGCAAGTCCAGTGCTTTAAGTCTCTGGCCGCCATTTGAACCATGACGCACGCATTTGAACTATGACACATTTGAAAATAAAAACCCCCCAAAAAACCCCCAACTCAAACATGCATACACAGCAGTCAAGAATGCATGGTAAAAGGAAATATGGACCCCCCCACCACCCCTTTCCGGAATTTTTTTGATCAAGTATGCACATATGGAGCCACATTTAAGTCTCAATGACATCATGTGCCAAAGATGTTTTCCAGGGGTCCATAATAATTTGAACCAAATGCATGTGCACAGAGATTCACACTAGCACACACATCCACAAAAAACCTAGGCTTAGCAGGTCCAAAAAAACCCAACCCAAAAAAACCAACCCCAAAGAAGAAGAAACTTTATACGGAAATGTAAATATAATTTCAGAAATAAAGAAATATGGCTTTCAGTACCAGAGATCACATGAGGGCTTTTCGAAAAATAATATTGTCATTAATATGCATGGTGGTATTTTCAGTGATACAACACTCTACACCCCATCTCACAGGGCTGCAGGCAAAGACTCTATTGTCTAAGAGGCAAACCGTGAACCTTTTGTTGAGAGCTCACAAGTGTCTAAATACGGTCTGATAATGAGATGCGCATATCATTGTCCTCAATTGTGATGTGATAGCATAAATGTCTGCATACATATTGGCAATAATCTAAAGTGCATAATATGTACGCATATTCATTCACTTATATTTTGAGTTACAATGAAGGTATTATAAAGCTCCTAGAGCTATATTGTACAGAAGAGGGAGCTAGAGAAATGATCTGCATTATTATTATTACAATAAATGATACAAAAATTATACGATTCTGCAGCTAGCCAGCCATGGAAAAAGCATTTGTCAAACAGCTTCTTGTCACTGTTCAGTCTCTGGTTACACTGTGCCAACATTCCTCTTTCCATGGTATGCTACTCTGTGCAAAAAATTAAGTTTCAATAACTGACCGTAAATGTTTCACTGCCTCTTAAACAAGGCTAAAGAATAATGTCAGTGACCTATTTTAATGACAACCAAGCTTACCACTGAGGCAATTCTGTTGGACAAACAGAGTAAAGGGCTGCAAACTTACTACAGAAATCATAAAACTCTTTCCGCACCAAACACCGATATATATGTCAGTGCCTTTCTACACAGCGCGTCGCCTCACAACTTTTTTGTTTTAGTTAACTTTAGTACACTTTGGACACAAAAAGCTCTGAGGTGGCGAGTGTTTGATTATGTTCTGATAACTTGTGCGACATATAGAGTTAGATGATCATTCTTAGATAACAGAGTCTTTGGCTGTATGTATGGCAGAGGGATAAAAAGGGAGTGTGTTGCAGAGGAGGGGGGCAGGGTGGGATTAGGAATGGAGAAGGGAAAGGGGAAGGGGTTTGGGAATGGAGGAGGAGGAGGAGTGGGAGGGGCAACAAGAGAGAGCAGAGCTCTACTTTGTCTTGGCCCTCTGCTTGCGCTCGGAGGCGAGGAGCTCGTCCTGCAGCAGCTGCAGCGTCTGTAGCAGCGACTCCTTCTCCTTGGACACAGTGAGCAGGTCGTCCTCGAGCCGTGTGACCCTCTGCTGCAGCACCAGGTTCTCCTTCTCCAGCTCATCCCTCAGCGGGTCCACCACTTCGTGGGTCGGGTGGGGCGACGAACCTGAACCTCCCGCACCTCCGCCCGCGACGTGATCTGCCACCAGGATGACGCTGGACACCGTGGATGAGGGGCTGCCAGATAGGATATCCGAGGTGAAGCTTTGTCTTTTGCGACCCATGCCTGGCCGCGCTCCTATATGCGGTGAGCTAGGGGTGGGCCCCACTGGAGGTCTCGAACCCGCGTCCGTCGTCTCCTGCATTCCTCGCCACTGGAGGATCTGGTGCTCGTACAAGCGGTTGGCCCGTCGCACCTCTTCCAGCTGTCGCCGTAGCAACACGGCCTCGTTCTGGGCGGCCATCAGCAGGGACATAGTGCCGTCGGGGCTCAGGATAGGGGAGGTCACTGCGTTGGTGACTTCTGGACGGGAAGGTGTGGGTGTGGGCGCGTATACGTGCCCGAACGATGAGTTTAGAGGAGCACCTGGAATGACAGTGAAAGACAATAAAAAGATGTCTCAACTGTAGTAACCCTGCACTATGTTAGTAGTGAGGTCAAGAACTTTGATTAATGAAGACACTTTATTATTTATGATGTCATGAAGTTAGACTATTGACTGAACTAAGTCACTTATGATGGAAAGATTTCCAAAACAAAAATTAACCCCATGGAAATCACTCTTGAAAAGATTAAATTATAAAAACAAAAACACGGCATGGCAATTCTAACACTGCATATTTGTGGCACGTATTAAGACATTAATCAACAAAGACTTCTCTCTCATATAAAGTGAAGCGACCAAACCTGCTATGTGGAAGAGGCCGTCTTTGCCGCGGTCGATCGAGAGCTGCTGGATGCGGACATTCGTGGGCACGGCACCAGGGGAGGTAACGTTTGCTGGTGGTCGGTCCTCCTGAAAGGTCGCAACACATTCATTTGGTTAGTTCCCTTTGGTAAGAGATTTACCAAAGATTATTATCTTTCGTTTTACAGCACTTGCAACAAAAATGGATCATATAAGTACTGAAGACTAGAGGTATTATTTGAGAGTAACATACGAAAACAAAAGAAGAAGGAGAGATAAACAGATGTTCGATAGGAAAGAAGGGGCAAACCATACCAGAGCATCCACTTAGTATCCACGCAAAATACTTATTTCATGAGAAAAGTATGTTTTATGACCAAGCAAATATACATAAAGTGACAGCCGAGCTGCAAAATATACCCGAAGCTATCTAAAGACTCTGCACTTTGTATATTATAAGGACTTTTTTCCTCAGTAAGTATTCGAATGAATGAAATCCTCTTCTTCCTGGGAAGCATACAGAGCAAGATGCCTCTTTTTAAAATGTCAAAACACTGACAAAATGATCTTTTGCTGTACATGACCAAGTACCACTTAACACCTGGATGAAGTGATGCAAATTTGTGTAAAGTGTAAAGGACAGAATGTTGGGCTAATCATACCTCTCATAACAAGCCTCTCTAAAAAAATAAGTTCATATAAGCTTACTATTTTGAGAGAGAGAGAAAGAGAGAGAGAGAGAGAGAGAGAGAGAGAGAGAAAGAGAGAGAGAGAGAGAGAGAGGTAAAGAGAGAGAGAAAGAGAGAGAGAGAGAGAGAGAGGTAAAGAGAGAGAGAAAGATAGAGAGAGAGAGAAAGAAAGAGCAACAGACAGCCAGCCAGAAAGTAAAATGATGCAGATCTATTGAAAGTAAACCCAGGACCACACACAACAAACCTCCAAGACTAGGAACAGGTTCCGTAACTCCAGCGACATGGGCAAGAACTCTGGCAGTTTCTCGTCCTCGGCAAAGTCGGCCAGACAGGTCACGCCAGACATTTTGAACTGCAGGCTCAGCTCATCCACGTGGATACTGGCGTGACCGACGTCGGGTGGAGCGTCCACCTGTGGTGCCTGTACGGCAAACTTGAACTTGATCGGATACCGTGATGGGGGCGGGTCCGTGTTCTCCTCTTGAATGTAACCTGAAGGACGAGACCGGCAGAAGATCCATCATCATCATCATCATCATCATCACTGTTAGTAATTACGATATGAAAACACAAAAAGTTGGCAAAGACTTGAGCATTTTAAGTTTCATAACATTATAAAATATCATCATATCATAATCATCATCACTGTGTTAAGGAGGATAAGGAAAAAACCAAAGGAGGATGGACACTTGAGCATTTTAAGTTGTGTGACATTCTAAAATATGTTCATCGTTTTCCCCTTTATTGGCTTTATCATCATCATCATAATCATCACCATCATTATCCTCATCGTCATCAATGCCTTTCTCACCCTGGATCAAGGTGCGGGCCTTCAATATAAACTTTCTTCCTTTCCCTATCCTGTGCTAGTCTCTTGATGTTTCGTTTCTCCCAAGAACCTAGAGTTGTATTGTATGGGAGCTCTAGAAATTATCTGCATTATTGTTATGATTATCATATTCTTTCATACAGGATTCTTTGCTTCAGCTGCCTAGTAGGGAAAACTGTGATAGACTCGAGAGATACATGACACTCCAATACACAGAAAAACATGACACTCCAATACACAGAAAAACATGACAAAACAACTTCTTCCATATGGCGTTGATGGGGTAGGCCTAAGGCACACTCTATAGAAGCACAGTACCATTCCACTTTTGAAACAGGGAAGGCTATTCCTCCTCTGCATGCAGTCAATCTTGCCATTCAAGTTTTTAGCACAACGAAAGTCCCTATAACTCTGTCCCTATTCGGCTTATTTGCATAAACTAATCTCTAAACTGTGCAGAAGTGAAAGATCAAAGTAGTGAACATTCAGTTTGATTATATAGATATCGTGAATTTGCTGAGCTGATGTTTGTTATGAGTGTAAAAAACAGATTGATGCCGTGAGCCAGCTGAACTGGCACACTGAATACTAAGAGTTAATACTTTAGTTGTAGTAAGAGTTTTATGGCATTTACAACACAATAAGATCATATAATATGTGCCAAAGACTACAGGTGTTGCAAGAGAGTAACAAACACAAAAAGGAAAAAGAGATCAGGAAGATAGATGTTTGATAGGAAAGAAGAAGCTAACCGCAGCAGTAGAGCACCCACCAATCACCCGCAAAAGTCAGTGCTATAAATATGACATTGGTGGATTTGTCGACCAACCTCTAGCGGTGGAAAACCGAGCCTGGAAGTCCTCGTAGCAGATGTTGCCCAGCTGAAGCGTGCCCAGTCTGGCCAGTTGGGCCCGGGCCACCATTCCGTCCGGTCCCGTCTCCGCCAACACCTCCAGGTGGTCCAGTTTGAACAACACGGCGTACACCTGGATTGATGAGGGTAAGATTTTGTTTATCAAAGGGAAAACAAAAACAATGGACTCAGACGGTGGTCAAAAACTTTTTCACCTTCTAGAAAACAGCTTTATAACACTTCTATAAACTTCAAGATAAGCAAAACCCAGATTTGCTGAGCTCAATATCACTTTGCCTTTGGTAGTAAAGCTCTCCAGATGATATACACAGGGAGTTTGTTGGAATAGTGCTTTACAAGTCTGCATGACAATAAGATAAGATAAAATAGAACAGTGTACACCTGGATTAAAGACAGCGAGTCCATCAGTCAGGGAGTTAGCTCTTAGCATACGAAAGGCTATTCCTCCTTTACATGCAGCCAATTTTGTCATCCAAGTTTTCAGCATCACAATCTGACCTAAAGCTCTGCTCCGATCAAACTTATTTACAAAAAAATAAACACTAAACTGAGTAGAGATGAATGACCGAAGCAGTAAACAAACAGTTGATTAAAAAAAAGATGAATTTGCTGAGGTTTGATAGTTCTTTGTTATGAATGTAAACAGCTGAGTGGTGTCATGAGCCAGCTGTACTGGCACACCCTATATCAAGAGTTAATGGCCAGTTGGAATCATAATCCACAAGTTTGCATGATAACAAGATAAGATATGACATGATATGGTATGATAAGACAGAACAGCATACACTTGTATTGAAGACACAGGTATTTTAGAGAGAGGGCGTTTGTTAATGATCAGTTGGAATCATACTTTACCCAATCAAAAAGATTCTAAGCAGTGATACGGCCATTCTTTTTGTTGTTGTTGTTAGAAGCGACCTTTCTCTAGTAAACCCCCCACCCCCAGTACAGTAAAAGAATGCAGCTATGTTCACCATCTCCTTGCCCTTAGTGGGGCTCCAGTGGCTAAGTGAGTAGTGAGTTTTGACTCAAACAATGTCAAGCAAGTGTCGGTGACACGGGGATCAGATGGGTGGTCACTGGAGTGTGTTCTTGAGCAAGACACGACAACCCTAGCTCAAATTACAGGGCGCTGCACAGTGGTGACCGACAGTGGCATTGTTTGTAAACTGTTCTGTATTTGTGTAATAGTGTGTATTTATGTATGCATTTATGCATGTATGTATTTATGTATGTACGTATTTATAATTATGTATTTATGTATGTATGTTTGCCATTGTAAAACAAAGTGCCCTTCTGGGACAAATAAAAGTGTAATTTATTATTATTATTATTATTAGAATCCTTGGCATAATACAGTAAAAGTAAGAAAAAATGTAACACGAGACAGTAAAAGTAAGAAAATTACTGAAAGAAAAAAAATGTAACACAAGACAGTAAAAGTAAGAAAAAGATATAACACAAGACAGTAAAAGTAAGAAAAAAGTGTTGTAAACGCTCACCATCTCCTTGCCCTTGGTGGTGGAGCTCTCAGCATACATGCTGACCGAGTCCCCTGGCTCGCCCTGCTCGCTGTAGCTGTCAGCCACTGAGGCCACGTCGGGCGGCGGGGGATCGTGGAAGAACGCCGGCATCTCCTCTGTGTCGTCCAGGGACAGGTGCTCGAAGTCGTCGTCCGACGTGTCCGTGCGGATTGACATGGTCTCAAGGTCGTCGCCCATCGCGTCGTCCAGGCCCTCCATTTTGTTCTTCAGCTTGTCGGTGAAGCTGGAGAAGGCGGAGGTGAAGGCTTTCTTCATGTCTGTGGGGCCTTTGCCCGACTTACCCCCGCCACCGCTGCCCCCACCCCCTCTCTGCTGCTGCCGTTGTGAAGGAGGTTTTCGCTCGATACCTGATGAATAAGAGAAATTAAATAATATATATATGCACCGTTCGTTTTATTGTTTTAGTAAGGTTTCACAGCACTTGCACTGCTATTAAGTTCTGATACTTACAGTATTAAAATATAAATCATTTTATTATTTTTCTGTTTTGCAGCACTTGCAGCATATTAAGATCATATAAGTGCCAATGCTTAGAGGTGTAACAAGAGAGTAACAAACACAAAAAAGAAGGAAGAGAGACAAGGACAAAAGGTGTTTGACAGGAAAGCAGGAGAAAATTACATGAGAGCAAAATATATCAATTGTTCAGGTTAAAAAGATGACAAACAGCTACCCTTTTCCTCTAAGCTGAAGATTAGAGGTATGAAAAGAGAATAATGAACACAAAAAAGAAGAAGGACAGATAAGGACGGCAGATGTTTGACAGTAAAAAAGGAGCAAACCACACCAGAGCGCCCAGCTGCCGAACACCCACAACAACAAAAAATACCACACAGACAATCCAACTTGACAAACAATTTGTTGGGTACTTATTCCCGAGTCTTTCTCTATAGAGCTCACAGACTGAAACATGGAGTTGAACGTCTCTTGATGGAGAAAACCCCCCCCCCAAAAAACAACAACCCCAAGCTCAAAAGGCAAACAGATTTTATAAATGAAAAAGGACAGACAATCTAAGACAAGAAATAATATTATGCAGGTTACCTATTCCAGAGTCCTTCCCTAAAGAATTAACAGACTGAGACATGGAGTCGAAGGTCTCTCGACGGAAATTCTCAGAGGAAAACGGCGTCGGTGCCTGGGAAGTCGGGACTGAGGTATTGGCGGTGGCCCCGGGAGCCGCTGAGTAGCCTCCCTTGCCCCGTGGGGCAGCCTCTAGAGGTGTGTGACCTAGATTCTCCAGCTGGCTGCTGGAGTGTGACTTGAAGCTGATGGTCTGATGGCCCGGTCGTAGGGAGGAGTCGTCCTTCACTTGACGGCCTGAAGCAGAGAGCGGAGAGTTTACTTTTAACGTTTTTAATCTTAGTAAGAGTTTTACAATAGCACTTGCAACGCAAATGGGTCTTATAAGCGCTAATATATGATAAGAGGTGTTACTAGATTTTAACATACAACCAAAAGAGGGAGGAGGGATAGGCAAGGACAAAGCTTGTTTTACAGGAAAGAAGGAGCAAACCACACCCCAGAGTATCTGGTAACTACCCACTTACTGCTAAAATTGTCCTAGACCGTCATCCACTGTCGAGAAGAGTGGTTGTCATAGACAGGTGGGCTTCCAGAACAGTGCCCATGTTATTTTGATATAAAAAGATGCAAGGGGGAATGGATGTGGAAAGTGTTCGTCTGCTGAGGTGATCGTTTTGGACAGGTGGCCATTAGAGCAGGTTCGAACTATATCTACAAACAAATTGACCTCATTGGTATGGCATACCATTGCCCCAAGACAGAGCGACATATCGGACAAAATCATTTTTTGTGTGGTTTTGTTGGTTTGTTACACTAATCTTGCCCATATCCTTCTTGTGTCGAAGGCAGGACAACTCAAGTCTTGTGAGTGCAACGGCGGAGTGTCTGACTGCCATGATGGTCAGCCGCAGCTGAGATCATCATTGACGGCAACAGGGGTTGAGTGACTGACACGATAACAGTGTATCCAATTTTACAGGAAAAACAAACAACTGTCCAATCCCATCTCTTTTTCTGATAATGTGCAATCAAATGTGAGATTTTAATAAATTCTAGATCTCCTTCAGCAGTCTTTTAATTCTAAAGTATGAATGATGCAAAGCATTATGTTCAATTGTTACTGTTGTAAATGTTCTTTAAAAATTTTAAGATTGGCTGCCACCACCATTTGCGGGTAGATCTGAGTTTGTTTTTCTCATGGAGAGAATTTAAATCCAGCACCTCTGTCATTCTGCAAGGATGTTGCACCCTTCTCAGCCCATGTTGGCCCTGACAGGCAAGATCAAAGTCTGCCTCCACAGTGATCTAAAATTGTATTGATATAAAACACCTGTATTAACTCACCAATGACACACATATCGCATACTCGAACATGTCCTGTTCCGGGGTATTTTAACTCTTCATCTCCCAGGGGGGTAAACCCACTATGCCATGGCCTTTTTTTGGTACTAAATCTAAAATAACAAAAATGTCGCTATATTGGTAATTAAATAAAACAAGTCAACCTGTTTTGATAGCTCTTCATCTAATGAATAAAATCCCGATATAAGAGACCTGTTTTCGGCAAGTAATTTGACTCTAAAGTCATTGTAAAGGAAAGGGCCCCAGCCGCTGTCAGTGGCTCACTGGCACAATGGTTCCAACCGCGAGCCGCTGGGAGCGGCATGCTGGAGATGAAGAGTTAAGTAAGAGGCCTACCTTCGATATTTCAACAGATTACTTTAATTCTGTTTTCTTTATCTGAAACTTATCCGAGTAGGCAACAAGATGTTTACTATGAAATATGCAAATTTATGTTTCCGATTTGTGTATAATGGTTCAAAATGGGCCGCAACATTGTCTTTGATCTGATGCTGATCCGACATAACATGTGTCCCCTAGGTCCTTAAAGAGTTAGAAGATTTGCTAGTTTGTCACCGACACAATAATCCCCTTGAGAGAGTAGCTAGAACAGAAACTCAAATGCTAAAAATAGTTGATGGTTTTAGTTTTAGTAAGCATTTTACAGGACTTGCAACACAATAAGGTCATATAAGTGCCGAATTTTAAGGGTGTTGATATCTAGGACATTAGTCAGAGGTATCCGAGCACTTACCTCCAGCATTATCTACCAGCTGAGGAAAGCAGGTTCCTTCCCCTTCGTCGCCAAACACCGCATCCTGGCCGGTGGTGACCCCTTGTAGGAACGGTGAGATGACGCTGAAGTCGTCGGAGAACGTCCGCTGATGCATCTGATAAGGGCAGACAACTGCCACCTCCAGCTCCTTCAACATGAGCGGGACGATCGTGATCGGGGATGGGGGCAGCTGTGGCGGTTCCTGGAAGGCAGCGGCGTCTTTCCCGCCCCTGTTGTTGAGCGACATCATGGCAAGTAGATCGGCGGACAAGTCTGTCTGAAACGCCGCAAAAGATTCCGACAATCTCAGCAGAAACAGATACTGGAAGTGGTTGATCTGAATGCGAAGTTTCTCGTTGATTTTGGTTAAGATGCAGACTTTTTTCTCCGCCTCCATTTTGCTCCCCCCTTCTCCGCCTACCTCCAGCTTGGGTAGACCGTCCTCTGAAGATTTGCAGCCCTCTGGAGGAGGTCGGTTGCCGTGGGGCGTCCAGGCTTGTTCTGGGTTGTGGTTGTTGGTGTTAGGCTCACTGCTTCCCTGACCCTGTCCCCGCCTGCTGTTGTTGCCAGCACCACTGCTGTGGTTGTTGTTGCTATGGTGGTTGTATGATGTCTGATCATAGCCTCCGTCCCGCCCAATGGTGTCTGCCGAACTGTGCGATGTCTGACTGAAGCGGTCGTTATCGCAGTCAGCGTCTGAGGCTGCGTACCTCGAAGACCTCGGTGGATCAGACGACCTCGAGTCCACGTTGTTGTTGCTGTAATGTTCTCCTCTGAACCCATCACTGTTGCCATGGCGACCGCGCTGGAGCTTCTGCGATGTCCTTGGTGGGTCTTCACCTTCTCTGTCTCGGCTCTGTGACCTGTGCAGCCGGGCTCCGCTACCACTTCGGCGATTCCGGCCCTCTCCGTTGACGTCTGAGCTGGCGTGGAACTGCTCAGTGGAGGAGGAGGAAGGGATGCCATCCATTTGGTCTCTGTCCTTTAACCGGACGACCCGCGAGCGATCTTCTGAGCGATCGTACTTCCTGTCCACAGACACGCCACGACTTCCGTCTCGAGTGTGCCTTCTGTGGAACTCTTCCCCCTGCCTTTCATATCTCTCCACGGGATCTCTTGGTGACTTCCGTTCCAACTCTTCCAACTGTCTCTCATACGTGCTACCCCTCCTCTCTCGGCTACTCGACCTCTGATGACCCCGGCGACCCCTTGAGGAGCCTCCGACGGACGACACAAACTCCGAGCTACTACTGCTGCTGTGTCGAGACTGTCTAGATCCCTGTCCTCCCACTATATCTCGGTCACGGAAAGAACCATCTTCGTCTCTCCCGCCAAACTCCACTTCCCGTCTCTTCATCCTGTGATCCCCGCCTCGGCTGTGAGGTGAATCCTCCGTCCTTCGGCTGCGAGGTCCCAGATATCTGTCCTCGTAGCCCGTGAAAGGCTCTCCGCTGGACCTCCCGTCGATTTCTCCACGACCTCTGGGCTCCCCGCTGCAGTATCCGTCCATCTCGCGCCGGTCGCTGCTGGAGCTGCTGCTGTGCCGCACTCTCCTGCCACTCTCCTTGTTCTTTCTATCCCGGGACTCCTCCCTCCTCCTCCCACTTTCTGTCCGCTGTCCGAGGGGAGGGCTTGAGCTGGAGCGAGAATCTTCTCGGTGAAGCGTCTCTCTCCGCTTTCGCGCTGAGGAATGATGGCCGCCAGATATGCCTTCGTTGTGGACAGGGGAGGAGCCCAGGTATCCTTGACCTTCATAATCGCGTGCATCATAATCGTGTTGTTCATCCTTGCCACCAGTTTGTCGTCTGTTGACACGCAGGTTCGTGCTATCTCCTCCCTGGGAGGGATCGGTGGAGTAGTGCTGACGAGACTGTGAGCCTCCACCACGACTACTAGAAAAGTTCACGTGGTCAACTCGGCAAGGGGAATCAGAGCGAGACCTCGTTTTGCTCCGTCGGGATCCATCGCAAGAGTAGTCTCCGCCAGACAGAGACAACTTGGAAGGTCTTCGCTCCTCATCTTCTTCATACTTAAGTCGTTGTTGCTGTTGATGTTGTGGTTGCTGCTGTTGTGGATACTGGTGACTGTGGTGGTAGTGTCCAGCCAAGCTGTTACCGTCACTGTGTGGGTCCAGCCCACTACTGCCACCACCACCGCGGCTGTAGCCATCACCGTACCGGTTGTTGTTGGTGCTGTTGTTGTTTCTGCTGCGCTGTACTTCTCGCCTCTCACTGTTGGGGGAGGAAGAGGAGGGGAGTGGGTGGGACTGGGAAGAGGAGGAGGAGGAGGGGTGGGTCGCATGACCTCGGCGACTAGCCCGATCATTGACGGGTGGCGAAGAGCCTAACACAGGCATTGCTGACGATGGGGGCTCCCTCACTTCTGGAGCCATCACGTCCACCTGACTAGAGTGGCCATTAGACTGACCAGAAGAATGACCATCACGGGGCCGTGAGTGACCTTTGACAGGAGCTGAACAAACTTTCCGATGGCAGCCTTTAATGTCGGTCACTGACATCCACACGGTGATCGGGATTGCCTCCACGAATGGCACGGGACGATTTTTGAAATTCTGGACGCCCAGAAACTCCAGCCACACCTGGTCAGCGCATGCCGACCAAACGTCAGACACGGCCGCCCGCTTGAGGCTGTCGCACGACAGCTTGTGTGGGGGCAGGGTCAATGTTGACTGTGGCTGACCTGACTCTCCGAGGTCTGACGGCGAGAGCTTGACCTTGTCCGGGTTATGGGACAGCAGCGTCTTCACAGCTGTTGACGAAAGGAAAAAAAAACAACCAAACATAAAGCAACGTAACAAATTTGGGTCACAACGTGGTGAAATGAGGTGCTGGTAAATTTTTGGGCATATGGAGTTATTGGTAAAATCACAAAGCTTATTTATATGTCTTGCTCTACGTGAAAAAAATTCCCATCTATCTTAAATAGAGGTAGAAATATTTACCACTAAAGGGAGTGGGGGTCACCTGTTTTCAGGGATAAGATTAGGGAAAAAATGACAGCCAAAGTTTGGCGACTTCCAAAGCTTGAGTGTCCTTATAACCTTAAAATGTTGGGACCAATCCAGGCTAAGAATGATACAATATGTCTACAGAAAGACCAAGATATTTGGTTAAAATTATCCCTACACAGAAATTGAACTCAGGTCTACTGTATACAGCAGTAAAGTGTTTAACCACTACACCACAGATACCATTAAGGGCATTCTTCTTATACCTGGAGTAGTAGTAGTAATAATAATAAAAATAATAATAGTAAGTCGTTCAACATGAACTGATGATGACCTTTAACATAATACATAGCAAAATGGGCAGACCGCAGAAATCTTTTTTCACTATGTGCATGTTTGCCATGAGTGTGTGTTTCACTATGTGTGTTTTCGTTATGTGTGAGTTGGCTATGTAAAGTTTCGTTAGGATTCTGCTTATCATAAACGTGTTTGCTTTGGGCATGTTCACTATACACGGGTTCGTTAAGGGCGTGTTCACTACACATGTGTCTTGCTATACGTGTGTTCACTGTGATCGTGTTAATTAAACATATGTTCGCTGAGGGCGTTTTAACTATACATGTTTTTGCTAAGAATCTGTTAACTATATACGTATTCATAATTAGCATGCAAGACTGCAGCACCTCTCCAACACCTTATCTAAGTATGGAATATTCAAATTGTTGGCGTGCTGAAAGAGTAGCTGTGGGATCCACTCCTCCACACACACACACACACACACACACATACATGCACACACACACACACACAAACCTCATCACACACAAACCCCCTCACACAGACACATACGTGCTAATCCACTCACCTTTATCTAAGTATGGATTATCCGCGTCGTTGGCGTGCTGGAAGAGCAACTGTAGAACCCACTCCTCAAGCTACTCACACACACACACACACAAACACAAACACATGCACACAAACACAAACACGCACACACACACATCACATATACACAAACCTCACCACACACAAACCCCCTCACACACACACATGCATGCGCACTTATTCACTCACCTTTATCTAAGTATGGATTATCAGTGTCGTTGGCGAGCTGGAAGAGCAACTGTGGGATCCACTCCTCCACACACACACACAGACACACACACACACACAACACACCTGCGCACAAACACACACAAACCCCTCACATACACAAGAGCGTTTATTCACTCACATTTATCTAAGTATGGATTATCCGTGTCGTTGGCGTGCTGGAATAGCAGCTGAGGAATCCACTCCTCGGGCTGGTCGGCTGTAGCGGCAGCCTCATCCATGGGGAACTCCTTGCTGGACAAGAGGCGCTCGGAGGCGTACTGCTCCAGCAGCGTGCGGAGGTCCTCTCGGCCCATGCGCTCCTCCGTGCGCCGGTTACACACCACCAGCTTGGAGATCTGAAGCTGGAGAGCATCCGGCCGGTCAGGCTGGCTCTCCACCTTCTCCTCCGCTGGAATGATCACCTGGGTGTGGGATTAATTGATCGTATGAGTTGAGTTTTACCGCCTCAACAGCATGATTAAGGTCATATTTTAGAAGGCTGGCGGCTTCAACTGTACCTGCTCTTTAAATTATTTTTTTTTAAATTTTCTTTTTTTTTCTAGATAAAAGAAAATAATAATAATAATAATAATATTAACAATAATAATTATGTAGGTCATTTTTATAGCGCCTACTCCCATGTGAACACAGCCTCAGGTGTTTTACATGTCTTTCTTTTTAAGTCCAAATACAATAATTGTGAAAAAAAGAACTGTTTGTTCATAATACGAGAGAGAAAAGAGCTACGAGTAGCAAAGTACGTACCCTGGGCATAAGTAGCTCCACCTTAATGTCTTTGTGCTCCGCGGGCTTGTCCTCCCCAAAGTCCATGTCCTGTTACAACACAGAAAGGGAGAAGAAATGATTACTTAACCATATCTGTACATTGTGTTATACTATCGTATCCATACGGCGTGGGGAACTCTGTGCCACCACTTTCCAAAGAGGAAATTTTCTCGTTAATCCAATCCGTACGCTTTGCACAGCAGTCTGTCAAAATGATTTTTTGAGAAATACTGAAAGTTTCAAAGAGATCTTCGCACTAGAAGTATTTTAAAAAATAGAAGAATACAACCCCAGGGCCTACAGATATGGTTAATTTTTTAACATGTTTCATTCTCTGTTGCCGTTAAGCGTCGAAGGGAGATGCAGTTTGCAATGGTAGGCGAACTCTGCAGCTTTTTCAAAGCGGATGTTATGGTTTCTCAAGGTTTCCTTGACTCCCTAAATCCATGTTCTGCTTGGCTTACCGCTTCCTTTATGACTTAAGTACTTGGTGTTATGGGCTTTCGAGGCTGGCTGACAAAGGTGACATTAATAATAGGAGGCCAAACCATTTTATTTTCTGTTTTTCTGCGAAATGCAGGGAGGACGTTGTGCCAACAGTAAACAATTTCTTTGCATACTAAAATCTTCAGTGTTGGGGGGTAGTGGGTGGAGTGGAGGGAGCGTAGGAGAGAAATTATTGTACATGTTTTAGTACCAGTTTTATGGCACTTGCAACACAATTAGTCCCTAAGAGCGCAGAAGAGAAGACACAACAGAAAGAAGGAGGAGAGATAAAGAAGATAGATGTTTGTTCGTTTAAGTAAGAGTTTTACTGCACTTGCAACAGAATAACGTTATATGAGTGCCGAAGATCAAAGGGGTTAAAAGAGTCTAACATAAAATACAAGTTGTTGTAAGGACTATAGATGGTTGATAGGAAAGAAGGGGCAAACCACACCAGAGCACCCATCAACCACCCACCAACTAAGAAGATCATTTAGGAGGCAGGTTTCAACTCTCCAGTCAGAGGGCAAGCCTGGGTTGAGAATGATACAAATTCCAATCAGAAAGACCGAGATGCTCGATAAAAACTCGCCCCGCACGGGAATCGAAATGAAGAGTAAAGAGAATCACATCAAAACAATAACAGTCATTTGATGCAGGGAAAAACAAGGCAGACAGATCAATAGAGAGACAGAAAAGAAAGTTGACCTGCCACTGGTTAGAGTCTTTTTTTTTTATAGTTTGAGTAAAGAGAACCACATCCACGCAATAACGGTCATTTACGCAGAGAAGAAGCAAGACAGACAGACATAAACAACAGAGGGAAGGAAAAGAAGTAGGACCAACCAGTGGCACCCTCCAACCACCCGGCCCTGCCACTGGAGCCCCCTCCAACCGTGCCAAGTTTGTTTGAGAAATGATGTAGTACGTAAGTGTTTCACAGCATTTGCAACATAATTAGGTCAAATAAATGCCGAAAGTTAAGGGTGTTAGTGTTACAAGAGAGTAACAAACATAAAAAAGAAGGTGGAGCGATAAGGACGATTGATGAATAACAGGAAAGAAGGAGCAAACCACAACACACAATAATGGTCATTTGGAGCAGTGGAAAAAGAAAGACAGACAGACAGAAACAATAGAGGGAAAGTAAAGAAGAAGAGAAGAAGGACCTTCCAGTGGCGCCCTCCGACCAGACACCGTCCCAAAAGGAACTGCATCTAAACGACTGAAGTGACAATAACGCTTTACGGCTGATTACTTTCTGAAACATTCCGATTGTACCGATGTCGAAATCGATCGTTTCATCTTGCTTAAAATGTGGCAACAGACGGGAGAGATAATCGAGGAACACTTTTCTTTTTTTTTTTTTTTTTAAATTTTTGTTTTGTTAGTAAGAGTTGTAAAGCATTTACAAGACAACAAGGTCACATACGTGCTGAAGATTTACTAGAGAGTAACAAACACACAAAAGAAAGAGGAGAGGTAAGAACGATAGGTGTTTGACAGGAAAGAAGGAACAAACCACACCAGAGCACACGCCAACCACCTACAGAGAAATAATCGAGGGGCGCAATAATCGTATTTCCCCAACAGTTGGAAATAACAGAAAGACACGATTACTTGTTTTGTTTTATATTGTTTGTTTGTTTTGTTTGTTTGTTCAGAGTATAAGCACATGGACACAACTTGACAACGGCATCTTTTACAACAACAACAACTACAAAAACGCATTTGATCAAAGTAGCAGCAGCACGAATGCAAAGTGCGGTCTGACAGGGCCGTTCAAAGACCTGTGATTATTTCGTCGAGAGTGTAATAATCTGGGTGGCTTTCGGCTGCTGGAACCAGCTTATCTCTCATTTCCGTGGCTACTCCCCCCCCCCCCCCCCCCCCCGTGTCTCTTCCCAACCGCTGATCTTTTCAACATCGCTCGGCGCAGCGCTTTTCCCTTTCGTCAACCCGCAACCACCTTTCCCGTAACACGCTGAAAGCCGATTCTTTGGACACGGGGGCAAAATTTCCCTTTTATTTTATAGGGGGGTAAATCTACCGGAACATGTTTTATTTAATTAGGCGAAGTGATGTGCAGTGATAGTCGCAATAGAGAGATTGTTTTGGTCTCTCTTTACTCATCTGCACCACACGAATTTAATTGATGTTTTTCCCTGGACTCTGCCTTTACTAAAGTCTCGAATCTAGATCTAGTTGTAATCTAATTGCAGGTTGCAGATTTAATAAATTGCCGACACACAGAGAGAGAGAAAGAGAGAGAGAGAGAGAGAGAGAGAGAGAGAGAGAGAGAGAGAGAGAGAGAGAGAGAGAGAGAGAGAGAGAGAGAGAGAGAGAGAGAAGGGGGAGGAGTAGATCTTGCGAGAACTTTCGGGCAAAACGAAATGGTGACCCACGTAGTTCGGTCGATTCGAAAAGTGAAAGAGCCATAGCATCTTTGTAGACGATCAAATTAGCTTACTTTTGTGCTATAACGTCATTTTTTTTCTTTGCCTTTGTCAATTTGATCATCCACACAGATAGAAAGCATTTCGAAATTAGGAAAAACAGGTCTTGTTTCACACTGGGTGAGAATAGCCAACGCTGGCAAGTCTCACCCGGGGTGAGAGGTCAATCGTAGGGTTTTTATTCTCACCCCGGGCGAGGATAGCAATAGCCACTTCCTTACTTAAATGATTAGGTGATTAAATTTGATCTCTTTTTGACAATATAAAAGTCAATTTAAGCATCATTTCGTTAGAAAACAATGTGTTAGGTTTGCTAACTTCATAGACTTTGTGTCAAACAACACTTTTAACAAAACGAATCCTTACAAGCCTAGGCTTGGCCTTTGTAATCTCGAAGGTTTAGAAGTAGAAGAAGAAGAGTCTACTACTAGAGTCTAGTCCAATTTATTTAATCTCTGGAATGTACTGGATAACAACAGAAATCTGCAACCTGCCACTAGATTACAACTCTAGATCTAGATCTAGATCTAGATTCGAGATTTTAGTAAAGGCAGAGTCCAGGGAAAAACTTCAAGAAATTGTCGTGGTGATGAGTAAAGAGAGACCAAAACAATCTCAATAAATAATATATCGCGACTATCACGGCACATCACTTCACCTATACATGTTCCGGTAACTACCTATAAATAGATGGAAGTTTGACCCGTGTCAAAGGTTGGGGGTGGCTGACGATTGGGAGGTGGCTGCGGGTTGACGAAAGGGAAAAGCGCAGCGCCTCGGCGCACGATACTGTACGGTGCAGTGCTTCGGTTGATTTACCGGCGTCTGTGGTGTAGCGGTTAGGCGCTTCGCTGTCGCACGTAGGATACCAGAGTCCGATTCCCGAGTAGGGGAGAATCTTTATTGTCGAGTATCTCAGTCTTTCTCCTGGGATGTTGTATGTCTCTCAGACTGGTTTGACTGTGGCAGGCAGGGCCGAAAGCCGGCCTCTTAAATAACCTAAATATTGTCCATGGGGGTGGGAAAACACCTACCTTGAAAAAAGAAATCGGTTTCTTTGCAACAATTTCGCTAGTTTCAGGTAATCGTTGCCTCGTAGAAAGGCTTTGTTTCATCTCTGTTTATCCCTAAAACTGACTTTTTTGTGAGGCATGCTGAACCCCTTTACTGCGAAGTCTGAGACTGTCTCGATCTCTTTCATTACATAATGAACCAGGCCTAGGGGTAGTACACTGTAGCACATTTCTGCGTTACACGAGCCTAGATGTTTACCGCATCGTAGCTAATTTCTTTTTCAATGTTGGTGAGTTTTTTTTCTCCACGCCCCTATCGATACAAATTGGGCCATTTAGGAGACAGGCTTGTTAGGGCCAACTTGAGCTGAGAATGAAGCAATATCTCAGCAGAAAAAACGAAATAACATGTTTCTCCCCACTCGGAATCGAACTGGGGTCTCCTGTGTGCGACAGCTACATTACAAATGCCAGTCATCAGTTCCTTCCGGTTGTTTTTTTTTTTTTAACGGTGTTGTTGAAGACCATCCCCGGCTCTACTCGCCAACATTTGCAGTCCATTCGGAAACCAATATTATTTTTCTTATAAACACTTTATACCCGACTACTTGTATTGCGTTTGATTGGGTTTGAGTAACGAGCAGGGGTTAATATATTACTCTGTTTTTTCCAGGGTAGACGTGTTACAATTGATTGAAAGCTTCAAACAACGGGATCTAACAAAACAAGATCACCGTTAGATCCAGATCTAGACATCAGACGATGGGTATCGAAAGCCAGAAACTCATACAGTAAACAGCTAACGTGGCTAAGAGATATCGTGCAGTTTTCCCCGAGTCAGATACTATGATTACATCGCAGCTTCACAATTTGCGCATCGTTGAATCTGAACATCTTGTTCTGCATTTGAAATGACAAAGACAAATTTAATTTCTCCAGCGTTTACATTTGAGCTTTTCTGTGTTTATATCTGAGCTGGCATTTGTTGAATGTGCACGGTGTAAGTGGAATTTATTTAACAATTTCGATATTAGATATTTGGTCATTGTTGCATTTGGACTCTCAATGGTGGTGACATTTGATCGGGAAAAGG